AAATATGGGTTAATGGTTTGCATATCCCCTCAATTACCCATTTAACAGTTGTCATAGTGATACCATCACTATCACTAGATGTTTTGTTACCACATTTATTCACTATCTCTATAATTTCCTTTTCAACTATGGGCTTCAAAAACATAGAACTCATGTTCCTTTCGATTGTATTATTATTTATAGTGACGGATGTATCATCAGTATAAATGCTTCTTGCTAAACCAGGACCAACATTGACAAAGAACCTATTAAACTTATCAACTATATTAAGTCAACAGTTGCTGGTTTTTGGACTACAAATTAAATGAGCACAACCTTCTTTTTTATTTTATTTTATTATATTCCAAACCCAGGTGGTTCTCTATAACAAATTACACAAGCTAACTTTTTGAAGTGTTTACAGGACCAGTTCATTTATCATAACCCATATTAAACCTAGTGCTGTCAGCCACAATCATTAACCAGAACTAATTAAAATGACCAAGTTTCTTCTACATTATGTGCAGCAAATAAACAGAGGCCCCCAGATAATTGAATTAAAGACAAAAACAACTCATAATGATAAAAAAAAAAATCAGTGCCTGACTTCAGAAAAAAATCAATTCACAGGAAGCTGCTGTGAGTCATTGTGATTGTACATATATAGCAACAATTCAACAGCACTTGAAAAAGATTTGGCTTGATGAACCAGTTGCCATGCAACAGTCTCTAGTGCGTCCCAGGTAGACTAGTCCAGTTAATTTGGTTTTACACTACTGTTGATCAAGCGCAACAGCAGTTCATGATGGCTTCCACAGGCCACATGTTAACGTGCTAGCTGTTTCTGCAGTATTCATTAAGAGTTGAATATCTTGAGTAAATATCCACATAAACAACTTGCACTGTTAGATTACTCAGACGTGGATTCAGCCTCTTCTCCTTTTGAGTGTTCATGGAGCTGTAGCTGTCAAAATGTGTTTGATGTGAGCTCAGCTGGAACGACCATGTGGCACAACTTTTAAAGTAGGCAAAACCTTGTCTGTTATGTGATAACATCTGTCACATCCATGAGGGTGAACAGTGGATATGTCATAGAAATCTGGCTTTGTTTTTCCTCTTCTACATATTTTTCTTCATGAAGCTATTTAGAAATATGTTATACAGTATGTGTGTGTCTTAGAATATGAACTCCACTGGGGAAAAAAAAAACAATTTAATTCAACTGGTGACAAATTTGTCAAATCCTCTGACAACTCAATAGCAGACAACAGGGGGTCTCTCATTTGAGCCTTTCAGTCAAATTTGCTTTTGATTAACTTCACAAAGAGATGTGGGTTTTGTCTGAAACAGCTTCCAGAGATGTAGAAGGAAAGGGACTTGTAGTTGGGTAGATATTCATATCCCCCTACTCAAAAACACTTTGATCACTGAAATGCCAGCTTAAGCAGTTTCTTCACTGCTTGTAAGCTCAGACCTCACGATCATTTTCCCTGCCATTGCCTTGCTGTGGCTACTGTGCATTATGACCAGGGTTATTTAAAGTTCAGAGCAAGCTGAGCTGAAACTGGACACTGAATGTCTAGTCTTTTCCTCCAGACTTCACCAATGTGAAGTTGGTGATGTCCTGTTTTTAGTGGGTCCTCCTAGACTGCAGCTGTGGGGAACTAAAAAGACCTCGCACTAGTTTGTTCATGTTTGATTTAAGGATACGATGCAGCTGTGTTACTCTCAAGTAATGGGGTTTGAGCAGGTTAAAACAATTTGTTTCTCTCTCTAAAATGCTTGTGATATTAAAATAACTCCATAAAACTTTTGTGAGAAAATCTGAAAACAAAGAAAACCAAATGAAAGAAATAAATGTAAAATGCAAACACACTGCTTAGCTCTGTGCTACTGTCTTTCACAGTGGCATTGTTTAGGGTATGCACATACTTAGGCCTACTCGGTAGTCTCCAAAAACCATAATGGTTGGTTTGTTGAGGTTTAATAAATATGAGTGTTCAGCAAAATCAAGCTATCCCTGGACCTTTGGTAGCCTTCAGTTTTAGAGTGAGCCAGGGTGAAGAAAATTAAGTGTGTAGGTCTAAATTATTCATTCTTGATGTTATATTTACAATGTTTTTATTTCTTTCAGGTGGAGATTCACATTCTATCTATACATATTTACCTATGGAGTGCGTTTCCTTAAAAAGGTAAGTTTTACTTTTAAACAAATGAGCACCAGCCTCCTGTTATGACTGTTAAAGTTAGTGTGAGTCACTGAGGTCAGTATGAGTCATTTTCCACAGAGCATTCAGTGTGGTGATTTAAGGCCATGAAAATCTTGTGGTTTCTTAATGGGTTGATGCCCAGTCATGAGACTGGCTGGTAAAATAGATGTTCTGGTGCAAGGGACTCATTTTATAAAGTAAATTTATAATAAAGCCTAGTATAAAAATGTTTCTCAACAATCGCTCTTACTTGGATGTTTACAGAAAAGGTGGAAGCACTTCATATGCTAAATAATGCCAAACATTAAATAGGCCATTTTTTACATTACAAGGCATACTTTCTTTTGATGTTAGTGTGAATTGCTGGAAGTCATGCTAGCTGTTGGATGGGCTATTTGGATGGTATAGTAATAAAAAGCAGACTACCACCTGTTTACAAAATGGGGTTCCCTGACAGACTAGTGGTTAGGGTGATGCTCTCCCGCTGCTGCGGTGTCAGGAAGGGCATCCGGCGTAAAGCACGTGCCAAATGTCAACTCGCGAATCGGCAGTGTGACAATTTGCTGTGGCGACCCCTAACGGGTAAAAGCTGAAAGTGACATTCATTCATTCATTCACCACCTGTTTACAAAATGCTGAAACCTGTTGGCAGATATTTATTGTTATAAAGGTCAAGTGGTCCTCCAAATGCCTCCCCATACTAATGTAGTGTACCGTGACTACTGGTTTAGGTAAAGATTTTAGGTGTTAATAGTAGATTGTGGCATTTTTAAATCCCATTAATATGTGACTGGTCAGGCTCATTGCCCTGACTGAGCTATTAACGTTAGGCGTCAGGGAAACTAACAGCAACGCTAATGCTTTGCCTAATGTTACTTAGCTAGCTTTTGGGACTAGCTTAGCAACAACTATAATGCCAAATCTACATTGATATTGAACAGTTTCCATATTACGTCTTTTCTTTTCAATCACATTTAGCATTCGTATTCTGCCCAAAGTTAACAAGATTTGTAAAAATATATATATATATATATATCTTCACATGCATTGCCTTTCCGTGCGTACTTCAGGGAAACAATGAGATGAGAGTATCCCAGTACTCCCACTACAAGCGATATACCTGTCTAGAAATTCTGAAATCCCAGCAGCTGTTGAAACCACTGGGGAGTGACTAAGCACATTTTGCACAATGATCCATTTAAAGTATTACTGAAGTATTACTTTAACATGCATAAAAATAACTGTTCTCTGGATGAAAGTGTTACATATTGTTATGAGGATGATGTGGGAGAGATGGACTCAAATTTCTGAAATATATTTATTTCACCGAGGCAAAATGAGATAGCAGAAAGGGGAAAAATCTTAAAAATAGAAGTTGCATAACAAAGCAGTTTGTGCAAATAGTTTATTCTCTGGCACTCCCTGCTGCAGACTCCACTCTCTGTGGGATTTATTAGCAGAGCAGGCCAGGAGAAGAGTGCAGGAGATGTAAACTCAGTCACAGTGATGGGTCACTGTTTGCATGTAACACATTCTTTAGTTTCACAGTTGCCATTTCATTTCATTCCGATGTCATTATGCCATAACACAGGTTTGGACATCCAGCCTTCTTTTACATTAAAGTAGGCATTGTAACAAAATCTCATTTAGTATTTTATTCAGAATTCATCAAGGATCATCATTTTTCAGTGGTCATATTGATATGCTTCTTTTAGATGTTGAACTCCAACTGCATGTGTGGGAACAGCATAATGCTGCATAGACATAGTATTTTAAGCTGACATTCTATTATTTTGACTAAATTCAATCTATGACAGGTTTTCAGAGATATACTACAAAATAATGAACTTATTGTCCCTGAAGTTTTCACACTAAAATATATTACAGTACTTTCCTAACTTTAGCAATTCAATGACTGTTTTTGATATTTTATATTTAAAATTATAATCCAGATTTGTTTGTTTCATGTAGGATAAATGTATATAAGTCACAGTTTTTATTTTCTGCAGACTCCATGGTTATGGAACACTAAGGAGTGCTGGTACAACTACCCTTACCAGGTAAAAGTACTTTAAAAACAACACTCATTCTCAGTAACAATGACACAGCAAGATGACTTCCATTACCAAAGATGGACTAGCGTAGTTCCTATTCTAACCTTGTTGCTTTGTGTGTTCATGCAGCCATTGACTGTGGATATCCATTATTATTATGTTCTGGAGCTGTCTTTCTACCTGTCCTTACTCTTTTCCCAATTCATAGACATCAGGAGGAAGGTAAGAATGACTTTATGTTACACCAAGATATACATCATCTAATAACAAGGCTCATTGAATGTTTAATTTATTAAAAGACATGATGGTCACTTTTTTGTGTTTTGTCCAGAAGAAATTACTTTTCTCTTGAATGTAGCCCTGTCACAGAAAATAATTGATCTGTGTCCATCTCTTTTCTTACCAACACTATTACTCTGCAGTGTTTAGCCAATTTGCTTGTGAACACTTGCTGTCTGCCTCTGTGTATTTTCACTGTGTGAAATAAGACATTTCAAAGTTGAACAGGATTTTCCAAACATGCAGAAACCGCATTCACTCTAAAACTTAAAATCTTTCTCATGCTTTCCCCACCTGTCGGTTGGTGTACAGTAAATTTTGTGTCATTAAATGCTTTTGAGTAATTCACTCTGCAGATTACTGGTGTTTTGTAATGATGGTATGATACAATACAATTTAAATGCACTGAGATAACATATTTCTTAATACAGGGATGTATTTAAAGTTAAGTCTGTTAGAAATAAATCATTATACCTGACAAGGACTTGTACTGGTGGAAACAGGAACAGAAAAGGCCAACTATTATTTTCTAGTCATTCTTAATATTGAAAAAGTACAACAAAGCAATTTATAACTGACACACGCACATACGGCACTGATTACAAGTACTTACAAAACTGTTATGTTTTCCTTAATGTATTACCAAATTAGATATAATGTTTAGTGTCAGGTGTCATTTATCATATATGTATATAGTACTTTAAGTTTCAAGAAGCAGATAAGTTTATACTGCATATGCATTAAATGAGGTTTGAAAGGTCCAACTTGATCAAAGTTTGTAGGAACTGAAACTTGGACATTTGATTTTTTAAATTTTTTTTTTTGTTACAAAAATGGCTTTTGGTCCATAAAGTATCAATTTGCATGCCTTCCAGCCATGACCTTACTTACTGAACCGTTACTCCTGTCTCCAGTCCATCCCCCAGCTCTGCCCTCTCCACAACACACTCCACTCACAGCAGCACCCATGATGCCATGCTGTGTATGCCTTCACTCTGTCATCTCTTTGTTGACTGTTGGCATGTTGTCTGTTTTTGTTTCTCCTTTCAGTTTTTCATGCACAGTACTAGGAGGAGGTCCTCTGCACCCCCCAATTCCAGTATGTTCTTCCCGCACACTCTTACCTTGCTTCCATTTTGTATCTTGCATCATTGCTCTTCCTTCGCATCCTCCTTCTCTTTCTCTGTCTCACATTTCAGTAGCTAAAGTTTTGCTAGAGGAATGCTTCCACATGCTACCTGTCTGCAGCCTTAGTCACCTGGAGCTCCATTTAAAACAACCCCACACCTAACCTTTCAAACCAAATTCATTTAATTTTACAAGACATTTACTGTAGCTGCAGTATTGATCGTTTTCATTCATGTCGAGCTTAGCTGACTTCCATTCTTGATTTTGATTTTCAGTGGAGGAATGGAGGGTTTTTTTGTTCTCTTTCAAACTGTGGTGTAGAAGATAACTAAGTATATTTGCTCAGTTGTTATACTTCAGTACAAACTTGTGCTTTACTTGAGTATTTCATACAACTTTATACTTTTATTCCACTATGACTCAAAGGAAAATATTTGCTCTTTTTATACTACCACATTTATTGGAAGCTACTAGATTCTTACTACAAATTAATACAAATTTTACATGCAGTACAAAGCATGTGATGACCTTATAAAATTTGAGGCATTGTTATAGATGCTAGTGTATATACTGTAATGGTTACAGGTGAGCTCCACTTCAACCAACTATTCATTTTTGCATCAGTTATAAAAATATTACAGTATAGTATAACAGTCACAGGGCCCTTTTTCCACCTTTTGTTAATTTAAGTACATTTTGTTGATATACAAACATTTACTTCAGTAAATGATTTTAATATTCCTCCACCATCTGCTTTTAAAAATATTATTGAGATGACTCTATTGCATTCTGACACAATGACAGTGTCAGATGAAGAGTAACTATAATTGACACATTGAATAGTTGAACACAATTTCAACAACACAATTGCAACAGCGCCCATTGTTCACAAATACTCGGAGTACTTGCTGTTTTTAATTGAATAAGCGGTGATTAATCAGTGTCTTGTCATAGCTTTTTATATCTTTTCAGTAGCTCTGCCAATCAGAGCGGCATATGACGAACATGCCTCGCCAAAATAGGGGTTTTATTTTTGAAGGGCGTGGATCCACACAGATTCACATGTGCAGCTACTAACTTGGGTAAAGCAGATTTCAAGGTCATGAAAATACAAAACATGTAATACCTCTTCCACCAGTTTTGAAAATAGGCTCCACAGTTTAAATTAGTCAGCAGTAGGGCCCTTATCATTTTTAAAGAACAAAAGTTTCATTAGTGTAAACACACAAAGCCGCTGTGTGTGTACTCAGTGGTCATGACCCTTTCACTTTATCACATTTCTGTCCTGCATGCAGTGACTCAAACAGATATGAAACTGTTTCTGTACTTGTGTGACATTTCTGTGTCCCCAGGATTTTCTGATCATGTTCCTGCACCACGTGGCAACAATCTCCCTCATCACCTTTTCCTATGTGAACAACATGGCACGAGTGGGAACTCTAGTTATGTGTCTCCATGATGCAGCTGATGTGCTGATAGAGGTGAGGATGGGTGAGAGAATTAAATGCTGTAGATGGACAGATGGGCATCTAAATTTAAATACAATTCTGATATCATGAACTTTATGTCAGATTCAGGTACAGTGCTTTTTGATCCTACTCTTTAGGTTATGATATAGTTTAGTTTTACCCTTGATAATGCTGGGAACAAGAGCTTTTAACTTTTATATTGTCACAAATATTTTGGACAGTTGTTTACATTATCAAATAATTGCAGATTTTTTTTTCTAGGCTGCCAAGATGGCAAACTATGCCAAATGCCACATACTGTGCAACCTCCTGTTTGCAGTGTTTGCAATTCTCTTCATAAGTTCCAGGCTGGGAGTGTACCCTGTCTGGTAAGTGTTATTTGTTTTCCTTCTGATGGCTGCCTTCACTGACGTGGTGTTACATGTGGCTTTGTCATCTGCGTTCAAGCAGTCAGAATTAAAAGACCTGTACAGTGTAATTGTGCTATACATTTCATAAGCCAGGAAAATCTCAGTCATTTTTTTACTGCTTTCTCCTCAATGGTTTGCAGTCCAGCTCATCTCTGTGAATTTTGTTGCTAAGTAATAGTTACTATGGATACAGCAGCATTAACCTCTCAAAGAAACTAAAAAAATCAACAAATGAAAAGCAGATTATTACAGTTATTACATTATCTTTGAGAACAGTGTCACAGAGTTCTACCTGATTGTTAAAATATCAAAGAGTTTTCCTCTAATTAGGATCTTTTATCATTTTGTAGTCTTACTTTGTCAGTTTTAAATTTACATTGCATTTATTCAGCATTTTAAATTGCGGTTAATCCATTCACAACCTCTGTACCAGAGAAATTTAAATATTTGAATTAATAGCTCATGATTTTGTTTTACCCAAACATTTGAAAGTCTGATTACAGTGGATGTTGAATGCCAATTATAAAGGACCATTCTGATGATATTTGAAGAGTTGCTACAAATCATCTTGCAGTCATCAGCAGCAGTGTTATCAGGCTTTTCAGAAGTGAAGGGAGATATGATTTGATTCAGAGAAGGCAGACAGCCACAGTTGACTGCTTTCAGCACAGAAATAACTGTTTCAAGCAATTTGTTTTCTGTAATAAGCAGGGCTGTTCTGAAGAAAGCACTTTGAAAAGGCCAGAGGCTTTTAGATTACTCTCTGCGGCATTTTAGAACAGCTTTTTTAAAAAAGCTTTTAGGCGTCACCCCACGGTTCTCTGTCTTTGTCTCCACACTGTAATATGATGATCCTACTCTACACTGTAGTCAGCCCACACCACACCAGTATTAAAGTTGTCATTACTGTAAAGCTGTTGCTATGGCTTCGCTATGATTCACAAGAACTGGTCCAGCAATAAATTTAACACAGAGCCTTGACATTTTGATCATCTGTCGTCAGGCAGTACAATTGTTTTTGTACTCCGTTAGTTTATGGCTGTACATATTGCTATTTCAAAGACACGAATCTGCTTGCACTGTAAACAAATCATTAAGATCCAGATGCTCCATGAAACACAAAGACCTGGAACACCTAATTTCTTTTCCTTAGCTTCTGTATGTCGTCGTCTACCTGCTCCTCAGGACGCACAGACACTCTCCCACCAAGAGAGAGTGCTTTTAATCTTACTGCTTTTCTAATGAAATATGTCGAGTTAATTATCTCCCTCTCCCTTTGTTGCTACGAAAGGATTTTAAATACCACCTTGTTTGAGAGTTGGGAGATTGTGGGGCCCTACCCATCTTGGTGGGTCTTCAACCTGCTTCTGATACTGCTGCAGATCCTTCACTCCTTCTGGTCCTACCTCATAGTAAAGACAGCGTGTCGAGCCATCTCTAAAGGAAAGGTGAGTGACTACACGCAGCTCCTCGTTTGAGTCTTTCGGCATAATTCTTCCATTTATACCTGTTCTTGCATAACATGGTGTTATGCTGCTAGTACTTTTATAAATACTGTGTAGCATGTTAAATGGCCACTTTTAACCTTTCCCTTTCTATTATTTATGATAACCTGCAACCTTCAAGGTGGGAAAATGGAATCCCTTACATGTAAGTAGCCTTGAACAGGAGCAGCTTATTTAACATGGTGTACTTTTCATTTAGTTTGATCTCATATCTCTGGCAGTCCTGTAATCATTTGCATACACCATAGTCATAATCAGCCCTAGCCTAATCAGTGTATTACAGAGATGGCTGTCTCAGTCAGTCCACCACTTCGGTTGAGACTGAATAATGTCAACAACTGTTGGATGGATTGTCTTACATTCACATGGTATCATGATGTTTTCTCTAATGTAGTCATCAGGTAAAAATTTAGATTTAAGCTACAGTATACCCAAATAATTGCAAAACTCACCATTAGCTGTACTTGTAATATGTGTATGTGCTTGTATTGGCACACTAACGTGGTGAACTAAGGTGGGAAACATGGTAAACATTACACTTGTTAACCATCAGCATTTTAAGTTTGAGCATGTTAGTATTCTAACAATAAGACTTAGCTTAAATTACTTCTGTGCATCTAATAGCTGTTAGCATGATTGTAGACTCTTGATTAAATTTTTTGTTGTGGTTTTTATTAGTCTTCTTGTAATGATTGTTATTTTATTTATATATCTTGAATATATTTCCTACATTTTGTTCTCATATACAAACCTACAACTTGACATGTTTCTTTACAAAATGTCTAGTACTAAGTAATTGATTGAGTGTCAGAAAATTCATTGTCAGCAATTTTGTTGATCACTAATTTATCATTCACAGGTATCAGATTCTCAAAATGAGGATTTGATGCTGTTCTGTTTTATATCAATGTGAAGTGAAAATCTGGTTTTTCAGCTGTTAGTAGGACGAAACTGACAAACGTTGGGAAAACACAGTTGGCATTTTCCATAATTTTCAGATATGTTACAGACTAAACAATAAATCAATCAACTGGAAAAATTATCGGGAGATTAGTCAATAATGAAAATAATCATGAGCTGTCACCCAGTGTTACTTTAGATGTCTCTATATTTTGAGTTTGCAAATAGGTTTTAAGGCTTTTACAGCCCGCTGCTTGATTTGGTTGGCAGAACGCCTCCCACTTTGACATTTTAATTTGGCGTGTACAACTCGCACAGATAATAACACAAGATTTTTAATTGGAAAACTTTTATTTCAACCATCACTCTTACATCTGCAGGTGTCTAAAGATGACCGCAGTGACATCGAATCCAGCTCTGATGAGGACGACAGCCCCCCTCCAAATCAGAAGCACCACAGCAGCGCCACCAACGGGACCAATAAAACTCACGGGACCAATGGCTACCTGACAGGAGCCCTGTATCCCGATGAACACTGACTAAGCTGATATCACTGGAGCCATGCTATGGGCGCCATCCATCAGTCTGTGTGTGTGAGTGTGTGGTGGAGACATGAACAACATCGCCTGTCTGATGCTGGAAGTTCTTAAAAACTTTCATGTGAATGCAGTTTTGTCATCAGTTTGATTCTTTACTAATTTCCTTGGGCAATTTATTCTCTTCATCTATACAGTATATTTGCATCAAACTGCACTCAGTGAGCTGCCAAAGCACTCCTACTGGTACAACCCAGTCTTTGGTCAGTCAGTGAATGACAGCATTCCACTTTCTTGTGTAAGCATGCTATTTTAACATACAGCAGTCTGGCATATTGGGGGGAGGTCCTTATACGTGTGTCTTTCTATGTTATTTATTTTATATAAGTTTGCAGATGGTAGTCAGACATATGTTCTACTCGGATGTCAGCGTTAAAGATCAAATTTTCTTGAACAGCACAGCTGTTTTTTCATACCACACATCATGATAACAAGTATTAGCTAAATGCTAATGACCCGGGTTTACTTTTAATGCTACACCCCCAAAGATCTGCCAAAATGATGATTGAGTCTGTCTTCACTCACAAATGGATTTTGAAGTCTGAAGTTTACTCCCATTTTAAAAATACAAACTTTCTGCAATCAAACTGCATATGAGATGTCAGCAACAGTATTATGTGTGACCATCAGGTATGACTAGATGCTGTATTCCCCATCGAAGCATTCTGTTAAGTATTCTGGTACATTTCTGGTAAGCATTTAATTAAAGGCCATTGCTTTCTTACAAGGCAGACATGAGTTGTTTAAATTATTCATTAAAAAAACATGAAGATTACAAGTACATCAAGAGTCAAGATTTTTATTTGCCATTTATGCATAAACAGATGGTCTAGGCATATAGGAATTCTTGTGCAGCTCTCCTTTGGAGTCAGGTAAAGAGTCAAAAGCCAGAAAGAACACTTGGTCTAAAATAAAAAGTTACATAAAGGCAACAAAGTATTAAAACCACAATACACAAAAATAGGGTAATAGTATTTTCCCCAGTGAACTTCAAACATCGCACCTAGTAATTCACATGATGGAGTTGGATATGTCATTACACTTGGTGAGGTAGTGAGGGGTTATAACATACTAAAATAGTTTATATTCAGGCTTGTTTCCATTGTTTGGTGGAGAATGTCCTGCTATTCTTCAGGTCCCCAAAGAAAACACTGTTGATGAGATGCTCTTACAAAATACCTTGTGGAACATTTCTGTATTATTATTGCGTATGTCTACTAAGCGGTTATTGCACATATTTTCTCACATTTTCGTATTTGCCATCAGTCTTACTGCGGCAGGGAAAAAGCTGTTGTAAAGTCTTGTTCTGTGTGTGATGATACTGTCTGCTCTGCTGTGACTGAGGCTGTAGGTGCAGTTTTTGTGTCTAAACAGGGAGTGAGCTGGGTGGCGTGGATCTCAGAGTATGTTCTCTGCACTACAACAGCGCTGTGTGTACAGTGTGTCCATAGCAGGCAGTTCAGTCCCAATGATCCTCTGTGCAGTCTTTTTGGCCCATTGAAGAGCCTTCCTCTCTGCCCGTGTGGTGTTACCATACCAAACTGTGATGCCAGTAGTGAGGATGCTCTCTACCAGTCCTCTATAAGCCTGGGTGAGAGGGAGCTACGGTTCGGCCCAGCTTTTCTGAGCCGCCTGATGAAGTATAGCTGCTGCTGGGCTTTCATCACTGTGGCAGCTGTGTTCAGTGACCAGCTCAGGTATGTTTGTTTGCTAAGTTTAACAAAATCTATCAAATCAAACCCATCAAATTAATTTTGGAAACTGATATTGAAGGGCCATAAATGATGATTTGAAATATCTTTATATCATTGATTATTTCATGAATAAACATTAACAATGATCTGTGAATGTGTGACAGTTTACAACAAACATTGGCCTTTTTCATGAGAGACATTTTTAGACAAAAGCACAGGTTTAAATAAACTTGACTGAATCCAGAGCAATCATTAAATGTATTAATAACATGTTTTTCCTACCTGAGGAGTCAAAATGTTTATTGTAAAATGGTCTATTGAGAAGCATGTACAGGAATCTCTTCTGTAGTGTCCTTAAAGACACATTAATAAGAATTAACCTCCGATTACTCTTATGGCATAAAAGGTAGTATTAGATTACACCATTATTGGTACCACTTTCTATTTGGGCAACCTTCCCACAGGACGTATTAGTTGTAACTAATTGCTTTATTAATGTACAGTACATGATTGACTAATGCTTGAAAAACTTAAGTGGAACCCTTCGGGTTGCCAGGTTGGAAAAAAATCCCTTGGAGTGTTTGGAATGGTCAGCCATTTACTTTAACCAAGACGCCATTCATTTACAACTTTGTAACATTTATTGTATAAGTTCAAATAGTAAATTGAGAACCCACAGGCAGACCAGACTGGCAGAATTCACAGTTTACGTCAGGCTTTTAAAAAAAAGAACACACAGAAATGGACAACAGCACATTGATGCAGATATTCTATGGAATAACCCTTCAGTACCGTGAAAGTTATTATCAGACTGATGACATAAAATGGCTGGAACCAACAGGTAGGTAACCCAAAAGGAATACTGAACATTAAGTAACAACTTGACAGGAATTCTAAACACAGTGGAGAATGGCTGGTAGCAGGTATATATCAGGTAAGTAATTACTTGTGTGAGCACACAGGATTTCAGTTATACATAACCATGAACAGCGTTACACGGTGCTGTGGCCATACAGGTATGAGCCAGCAAAGAGTTCAGTATTTTCAGTTGTATAAACAGCTTATAGGGAAGCAGGCATAAGCGTTGTCAGGGCCAAAAAAAAAGTTCTGGGCCTAGCAAGCATTAAACTAGACCAACAGAGCATATAGGAAGCAGGCAACTAGGAACTGTATGATAAAGATCCAAACAGAGGCTGAGTTGAATTGGTATCCCGGACAGAAACGGGTAGGTTACAGACAGAAAACAGAGAAGGAAAGTGATGACTGAAGGTATGAGCTGGCTTGAGAGTCTGAAACTACTGAGACAATCTGGTGACAGGTGGATGCAGAGAGCTGGCTTCTACACTGGGTGACTGATTGTGCATAATACACTGTAGGCAGGTGAAAGCTGAGGCGACAGGGGTGAGAAAGTTGGAGCTGAGACAGTGCAGGGTAGAAAAGCAGAAGTATACCAAAATAAAAGTTTGAGACAGAAAGTGCTGTGCATCATGACAACAATGACATTCTTCATAGATTAAAAAGCACCATACTGTGTATTTATTAAGATATTACCAAAAATAAAATATATTAAATAGCGTCTTCTTCTGACATTTATGTCTTTATGGATAGCTGACAGTGTAAAACTGTAGAAAGGAAATGTAGGAAAATGAGGAGGTTATGTCAAAGGTCCCTGGCCAGAAGTTTGGTACGCACCTTAAAGCTGCTCTTATCAATATGTTTATATTCACAATTAATCATTTTGCTTCATGTATAGGAATGGGGTTACTCGCAGGGATGAACCCACAAAGATTTATCCTCAATTGTACTGTTCTCTGTAGCTCTACATAGCATTTATCGACTTTCAGCTTGTTGTTTTGGTTTTCTGGCCCACACTGTATCTGTTTTGATCCAGAATGAATGTTGAAGTTGCACTGTGTCTTCTGATGTGTAAAACAAAGCAACTGTTTGCTAACAGGTTTGTCATATCATCTTAAAAAGAGAACACATTTTATTCATCATATATTCACTGCTCCCAAGTGGCCAAAAGAATCAATACAGGTTTAATCAAAAATGTCTCAGATTATCAGGATTTATCACAGGTTTTAACTCAGAACCTCTCGCTGTTCTCATTAAAGGCTTACAACTGGTCTGTAAAGCATCAGTGAATGATTTACTAACCATAATAAAGCTTTTAGTTACAACTTACTGTATAAACCCTTTTTAAGTGTGATTTATTGTAAAGTGGTATTCAGTTGGTCTTTCTTTATAGCATAAAATAATAAAGCAATTCTAATTTTATAATACTGTATAACTTGCTTGGTCATCACTAGCTTAAAGTGACAAATAAGAACATGAATGTGTCTTTGTTTTGAGTTTATATCTTTCTTTTTCTCTATACCTGTCATAGACTGAATTGTTATTCAGTTGGTTTTACATTTGTAGTTTCTTTTTTTCCCCTCACTGATATTTTCCTTTGCACAGTGCACGGACAAAAAGCTCAGGTGATTTCCGCATGCATGACTTTGGGAGGAGGGTGGTCAAAGTTCCAGGTCTAAAGTCAACAAACAGCCACAGTCTTAAGATGAAGGACCCTATCAGCACCTGCTCTGTAAGTGTTTCTTTAAAAGTTCCCCTCCTTGGAGTAAAAAGTAGGCAAATTATTTTTTATATGCTCAGTCTTTTGTCCATTTTGTGTGTAACACAACCTCTTGTCGGGGAGACTAACTGCCATGTTGTGTATAGCAATAATGGTATGCTTATATCTAGTTCAAGCATGTACTAGGTATAAGCAAATTGATAATGCATTTGTGGATATGTGTGAAATTATGTGTGTTGATATATTGACTGTCTTTACATGTTTGAAAGAATAAATCAAATCAAATCAAATCATTTTATTGTAAGAGACAGATCAATCACATCTGTTGTTTCAGGCGATTATATCTCATGGAGCTTTATTTACTGTCTTCCAGTATAACCAACTCTATCAAAATGTGAAACGATTTTCAAAAATGGGGGAGTGTTTCTGCAAAGAACTCATGACAGTGTTTCAGCAAAGGTAGGTTCACAACGGCTATGGGCTTTTGGTTAAAATTTAACAACTACAAAAGTTATTATTTGACTCAGTAATTGTCACTTGCTGCAACTTTTTCTCGTTTTAGAGCTGAGTTGGAGTTTACTTATGCTAAAGGGCTGCAAAAATTTGCTGGCAAACTCATCAGAGCCTCCAAAGGGATGTCAAACAAGTAAGGGACACAGTGCTGAATTTTTAACTGGCTCAGTCTTTTGTCCGTTTTGTGTGTAACACAACCTCTTGTCGGGGAGACTAACTGCCATGTTGTGTATAGCAATAATGGTAATAATGGTATTATGGAAATAACATGCACCTAGCAAGTTAGATGTGATTAAAACACAGGTAGGTGTCTGGCTAACTAGCCCACAGCTCTAATCGTGTCATGCTGGTTTTCCACTCAGTTCCACCTACGGCGCCTGGTGTCATGTGTCAGATGAGATGTACTCAAGAGCAGATGCACACAGGTAGCCTGAGTTCACCCTATAACTTTGCCTGTCCACAGATTAAACTAATGTAAGACAGTTTGGGAGTTAATAACGGTGTGCTGTTTTCACTCCAGATCTTTAGGAAATGCATTTCAACAAGAAGCAAATGTGGAAATACGGCAGGTCTTAGAGGAACATAATAAGAGAAAGAGGCCTGTATGTTATTTTTCATCTCTGTTCTAACCCTCAGTCATAGTGTGTCCCTGACCTTTTCCATGTTTCAAAGCTTGACAGTGCCATTGAACGAACTGGAAAACTTGTTACTGCTAACTGGAGTGAGCAACTCAAGGTAAAAAAAACAAAACAAAAAAGCATGTTGTAAATATTGCTGAGAAGAATTAGCTATGACCAAGCTGATGCTGGTCCATAAAACATTTGTGTTGCTGTAAACTAATATGTAATAGTAAACCTTATTGTGAAGCTCTTACAATTTGTACAGTGTATCATAGGTACCTGTATAATACATTATTAATCATTCATAATGCATTATAGGAGATGCTTTAAGCTTTAATAATGCATCATGCCCTGTTAAAACTATTGTAACAAGTTGGATCACAATAGAAGATCAAAAGATCCTAATATTATAGATTATAATAACTATAAACACTCAATCCATTTTGCATGACAGGTTATAAAGTTTCATACACATCCTGGTGCTTTTGTAACAGTATTACGACCAGAAAGCACTATAATACTCTCAGGATCTTATGACTTTTTATACTGAATGGGTGGATCGATCACGAGTCACTGCGATGTTTGACATTATAAAGTGTTATGACCATACTTCAAACGTGACATATTATGAAGGCTTATAACTATATGATGCATTATGAATGTGTCATTATGCATTATGTCATTGTTACAAATGAGGGGTTCGTGGAAAATATTACTGATTTTATTTTTGTGAAATAAAACTTTCGTTCACGCAGCGATATAGCATAGTTAAATGTTGCACGCCATCTTATTCTAGATGTATTTATCTTTATCATTTTGCTGTGCTGTGATTTATTTGTCTTTTCTTGCACTACATCTTTTTCTAAAATAGATAAAAAAGAAACTGGTTGGACTAACAAGAGAGCATGAAGCTTTGTTCAACTTTGTCGAGAACAACAAACACATCTGCACAGAAAAGGAAAAACAAAAGGTACAGAACATAGTTACCGCACTATTTTCACCACTACATGTGTTTCATGATTTGGAAGGGAAAACCTGCTGCAAAAAAATTTGCTAATGATTTGTTCCTCTTTACTACAGATGGTTAACAGGCTGAGTAAGTCAGCAGACATGCAGGCTCGGGTAGATGAGGAGTACTTTAATATCAACCTGGAGGGTCATCAGATGAGGCTCAAGTGGGAAAACACACTGAAAAACTGCTACCAGGTGTGAAAAATCCTTTCATCTGTCTCATTTTGTGAGCATTTAGCTGCTCCTCTTATTCAGAGTGACTTTATTGAGTTAGGTTTGGTGTCTTGCTCGAGGACACCTCATTTTCAGTAAGAGTTGAACCAACGTTGGTTGCAGAAAATGACATCCGACACCAGGTCAGTCTACCATCCAAGTTCTCTGTTAGGTGCACTAAATCACCAAAGCCCACCCACAAATGTATTCTGAAAAGTATTTGATGCTGTTTTTTTTCTGAGATGCACACATTTTATCAGCATGCCA